AAAAAAAAGATAACCGCGATGTTGAAAACTTATGTGTACTGTGTGTAGTTTGTAAACAAGTAAAAAAGTTGTTAAGTTCGGCCCGGCCGAACTTTTTATACCCTCCATCATGAGGTTGATAATGAAATTAATGGGGGCTTCTACGAGAAGTCTCATGTTATGATAGAACCTTGAACATACCGAAAAATACTTGAGAAAAATACGATTGAAATTCTCGAAATTTCTAATGGCGGCTTTAATACAAGGCAGATCAATATTGATACTTTTTGGTAGTGAGATTTGACAGCCAATGAGAATACAAAACATCAAATGACAGCCAATTTGGTTGAAAATGTGTCCAAAATTCTCAAAATAACAACTTGGACCAATACGAGTATTAATCATTTTTAGTGGGGAGATGTGGTGATAAATTTATGAGAACCCAAAATACAAAACAAAATCCCCTTATTGGGGGTACCATATTATAGAATATACCCTTAAATGTGAGTTAGTAGTAAACATTTTTAGTACGGAAATGTGCTATACAATGGGGTCTCGAAATACAAAACTGCAGCCAAGGTGGTTGCAAAATATGTCCAAAATCCTTGAAATACCTAATGCTGGGGTTTACTTTTATATAGTGGCTACCCAGAAACATGGGACAATTTTATTAATTTATGGCACCCAAAATACAAAATTACAGCCGAGTTTGTCGCAAAACGTGTCCAAAATACCGAAGGGGTACCATTATATATATGGTGGCTACCCTGAAATTTGGGTCAATATTAAAAATGTTTCGTTCGTATATGTGTTATTCAATGAGAACCCAAAATACCAAATCACAGCCAATTCGATGGAAAACGTTTTCAAAATATCGAATATTGGGGAGTGCCGTTATATGGGTGCTACCCTGAATCTTGGGTCAATATTAATAATTTTTGATGTGGTGTCTACCCTGAAACTTGGGTAATATTAATTATTTTTTTTTTGGAAATGAGAAACCAAAATACAGTCAATTTTGTTGGAAAACTTGTCCAAAATCTCCAAAATACGGAATACTGGGAGTTATCGTTATATAGTGACTGCCATGAAACTTGGATCAATATTATTTTTGGTATTGATATGTGTTATTCAATGAGAATCCAAAATACCAAATAACAGCCAGTTCGGTTGAAAAACGTTTCCAAAATCCCCAAAATACCGAATATTGGGGAGTGCCGTTATATAGGGTCTACACCAAAACGTGGATATATGCCATTTGCAATACTAAACATCTTTGGATTATTAGCAATGTCTCTATTGTTAATTTAACAGACGGACAGGTAGACTAATATGCGTCAATCGACATATAATTTTATTCTGATCTAGAATATATTTATTTTGTGGGGTTTTCGGTGAATATTTCGAGGTGTTGCAAACGGAATGACAAATTTAATACACACTCCACCTTATGATGGAGGATATAAGAAACAAGTATTAAAAGACAATTAAAAATATTTTTGCTTAAAAAAATAGAAACATAGAAATAAATATGATTAGAGAATTTTAATTTAATTCCATATTATTTATTTTTTAAATACTTTACACTGTCTCAAATAATAAAAAACTGAATTACTTTAAGAAATTCCTAATCCAATTTTCATTTATATTTTCATCGGAATTTTTTAAAGTATGGCATTAAATATATGACATGACATTGTTCCTTTAAAATATACATATACATATTTATTCGCAATATCTCAATTACCAAGGGATTTATTTTATATAAATATATACATATTTTGTCAAATTGTAACAATTTGAAGCAAATATAAATATATTTTGTCAAATTAAAAAAAAGCTTGGACTTTATTTTTGTGATTTTGACTAACTAAATTATTGACTATGTCCAAATAAAAGAAAATTCTTATTAAATTAAAAATAAATGTCAAAGTGTTTATATGTGTTATAACCCATCCCAAAATGGCATTCCAGTGATGATTCATTATGACGTCAAGCTACATCACACCATATAATTCATATTACATCATAAATTATAAATTATAAACAATTATACAAATAATACCATATTCATAATCACATATCGCATAATCATACGATCAATTATGATGCACATATATATTCATATTACACATACATAATAACCCATTTATAATCAATAAATAATTAGTTCTATTCTGACAAGAAAACTATTCGCACGTATTTTTATTGAGGGGGCGTCAGGATAAACTCAGAACAAATTAAAATTGTCTTTACAAAAAAAAAAAAAAAAAATAATAATAATAATAATAAATAAATGAAATAAAAAAATAAACAAAAAAATAAATAAATAATTAATTCTTTCAATAAGGATTAAAACTTATATGTGTTGGCATCAATTATACCAGAGATAAACAAATTAGCTTGGTCAATGGAACGTATACATGTTGTCATAAATTATACGTATTTTGTATTAAAACTAATTGCCCCATTAAAACTCGTCCGTCCGTCCGTCTGTCTGTCCATGTTAAATTGTGAACAAAGTACAGGTCGCATTTATGATCCGAATTGGATGAAATTTGGCACAGCTCAATTGGGAAAAATCGGTCCAGATTTAGATATAGCTTCCATATATATTTTCGTCCGATTTTATATAAATGGTGTACCAAAGTCCTTATATATCTTTCGATTTGCATGAAATTTGGCATAGCGTAATGAATTAGCTTAAGAATGATGTGTGTTAAGTTTCCTGAAAATCGGTTCATATTTAGATATAGCCCTCATATATATTTTCGTCCGATTTTATGTAAATGGTGTACCAAAGTCCCTATATATCTTTCAATTTGCACGAAATTTGGCATAGCGTAATGAATTAGCTCTAGAATGATGTGTGTTAAGATTCCTAAAAATCGGTCCAGATTTAGATATAGCTCCCATATATATTTTCGTCCGATTTAATGTATATGTTGTATCAAAGTCCCTATATATCTTTCGATTTGCATGAAATTTGGCACAGTGAACTAAATTAAGTTTAGAATGATGTGTGTTAAGTTTTCAGAAAATCGGTCCAGATTTAGATATAGCTTCCATATATATTTTCGTCCGATTTTATATAAATGGTGTACCAAAGTCCTTATATATCTTTCGATTTGCATGAAATTTGGCATAGCGTAATGAATAAGCTCTAGAATGATGTGTGTTAAGTTTCCTGGAAATCGGTCCAGATTTAGATATATCCCCTAATATGTTTTCGTCCGATTTTATGTAAATGGTGTACCAAAGTCCCTAGATATCATTTGCTTTGTACGAAATTTGGCATAGCGTAATGAATTAAGCCTAGAATGATGTACGTTAAATTTCCTGAAAATCGGTCCAGATTTAGATATAGCTCCCATATATATATATATATATATATATATTTTCGTTCGATTTAATTTAAATGGTGTCGTCCGATTTTACACAAAATAGCTCCCATATATATTTTCGTCCGATTTAATGTAAATGGTGTCGTCCAATTTTACACAAAATTGACACAGACTTTTCACAACGTACTGGAGTTAGAATAACCTAGAAGTTGGTTTTAAATGCTTTACCATGGTCGGTCCAATCGACACAAAATTTTGCTCTACGTATGAAGTTAGTATAACATAACTTGTGGCAAGTTTAGTTCAGAGCGGATTAGATTTTGATATAGCATATATATATATATATATATATATATATATGCTCCTTTAAAAATTCGACGTCTTTTAGGTTTCATCTGTTGGATATACCGAAAGTGGTGAAGGGTATCATATAATCGGCCCCGTCCGACTTTACTACTTTCCTTACTGATTGAAAATATAATTTCAGTCATTGAAAATTTTGTTTTTCAATACATGTAAACATTTTCTGATCAATTAAAAATATTGTCATCCATATTTCAATTGGCACAGATGGAAATAAAGCCCTTGCGTATTTGGGTAATACGGACGTCCATGGTACAATTATAAAAGGTAACAGCAAATCCCAGCTGATTTGATTCCAACGTAATGCTAGTGTCAATATGAATTTGACAAATTATGTTTTTAAAAATCACCCAATAGGAAAATTGGGAACGCATACAATTTGAAATTGTCCTTTATCAAATATGCTCCCGTATTCAATTTACTCAATCTGCCTGCTGGGAAAGTTTGAGAAAGCAAATCTTTCTTCATTGAATAACTCGCAATTCCCTGCATTTTCATATGTGTTACACATATAAGTGGCAATTGTTCAATCATAGGAAAAACGTGGAAGCGATAGAAATATAAATTTGATAGATTTTCATTCATGTTTTTCAAATTTTATTTTGAGGATTCGAAAATATTTCATTTTCAAAATAAATATAATTTATTTGTTTGTTTACATTTTTCTGTCAAATGACGTTGACACTAGTATAACTTACAAAAACAAATTTCCATGTGGTTGTTGTATCGTTTGTTGTACAACAACACTTGCTGTTACCTTCTATTATTATACCATGACGGACGTCTAACAAACCCTATAAATGAGAGAAGGTGAGTATTTTTGTACGTAGCGCAATAAATTAGGTACGACCCTAAAATAGAGACCTTGAACACATCAAATATTAAGATGACATTTTTCAACATTGACAAAACATATTTCAAATTTTGTGTTTTATTATTAAATTTTATTATTGTCATTGTTTGTATAGAAGTGCACGTTTTTCGATAAATGAAAAATGGTTTCATTCATTTTCGCCGTTTTTAATTTGTACACATTTAGGTAAAGTCCCTGCAGGCGCTCCACAAACCATATAAAGGTGAGAAGGTGGGTATTATAGCACACCACGTATTAAATTAGGTTTGATCCTATATTTCCTAATTTATTTATCATAATTATTTGTGTGTCTTCTTTCCTTTTCTTTTCAGGTATAACCTACATTAAACTACTAATCAGAAATTCCCAACTTAAGAACCCCGCACAAAGAGATTCTCGCATCCCCACCGCCCCAAAAGAAAATCTCTCGTTTTCCATGCTACATGACCGTTTTCCACAAAATGACACAACGTATCGGAAATTGGGAAAAATTCAAATTGTTAACGTGGAAAAATTGGCGACTAGAATGGCATCACAAAATTCAACTTTTGATCGAAATATTGGCGCCAGTGGTATTTGCATTGCTGATGGTGTTGTTGCGAATGCTGGTTGTGGCCAAATCGAAAGATCTTCTCACATTTCCACCACAAAATATCGATAATATTAATTTATTCAGGTAACTATTTAAATAATAATAACAACATTAAAAATTATTTATTTAAAAGAAAAAAACATTGAATTATTTTGAATTTAAAAAATCTCCTGCAAATTTTGTCTTTTAAAGGAAAGCTGCATCAATGCGTAATCTCTCAAAGACTGCCATAACCAAGGACAGGTAATCTTAATGTTAAACACATCAATATGGACTGTATATGTTTGTGATTTTTCCAACACTCGCACCCTCCTTTAAAGATTATTTTAATATCCAGTACATTCCCTCCGTTCTAATATACTTCTATTTAACTTACTGACTTATTTTGTTCACACACACACACACACACACCAAACAACTAAACAGTGAAGAAATGTTCTTTCTTGGATTTGCAAAACCGGTAATCTATTCACTGCACTATTCACCGAATAATCCCTACCTCACCAATATCGTTTGCGATGCTGCCAAGGGGCTCAGGTTAACGTGTGAAGGACACCCAGATGCGGCAGCATTAGAATTTGCCATGGTCTCCAATAACTATTTAGCCGGTGTACAATTCGATGATAGTTGGAGTAATTTAGCCGATTATCCACAAAAATTTGCCTTTTCTCTACGCTACCCAAGTGAATTGAGAACCGAAAGAGCAGGTTCGGGTAAGACTTGGTTAACAACGAAACTGTTCATGCCAATGGGTTCGAGTGGACCACGCAATCCAAAAGCACCAGATGGTGGTTTACCCGTGGGCTATATACGTGAATCGTTTCTGCCCGTTCAGCATGCCATTTCAATGGCCTATATAAAATTGGTAACACAACGAACAGATTTGCCTACGGTGACAATCCAACGATATCCCTATCCGGCATATATTTATGATCCCCTGCTGGAGGGTATGGCCTTTTTTGTGCCAATGATCATATTGTTGAGTTTTATTTATCCCTGTTTGAATATTGTTAGGGTAAGTAGGATGATTTGGGATCTTCTTTGAGGTCTATAAAATAAATTTTTACTCTTATTATTTCAGTACATTACTGCCGAAAAGGAGAAACAGCTGAAGGAAGTCATGAAAATCATAGGCCTGGATAATTGGCTACATTGGACCAGTTGGTTTTGTAAATACTTTATTTTGATGACTATTTCGGCTATACTCATTACGATTATCATGAAGGTTCGTATATTAAAAAACACAACAAATTGGTGATCTGATCTATATAAAGACCTGCGGTCTCTATACAGGCCATTTGGTCTATATAAAGATCTGTGGTCTCTATACAGACCAATTGTCTACAACAAATTGGTGATCTGACCAATTGGGCTATGTAAAGATCTGCTGTCTCTATAGAGACCAATTGGTCTGTATAAAGACCTGTGGTCTCTATACCCAGACCAATTTGTCGTTACAAAGATTTGTGGTCTCTTTGTGAAGACCTGCACTAATAAATCATTTTCATTATTTTCAGATTAAATGGTCAAATGGTGTTGCTGTGCTAACCTATGCCGATTGGTCTGTCGTGCTATTCTTCTTCCTCATCTATGTAATTGCGAGCATCTGCTTTAGCTTTATGGTGGCTACATTTTTCTCAAAAGCAAATACTGTAGCCGCTGTTATTGGTTTTATCTGGTTCATTACCTATTTGCCCTATTTGTTTATCTTCGAAACCTATGACAATTTGAGTTTGGACACTAAATTAGGTTGGTGTTTGATCTCAAATACGGCTTTGGGTTTAGGGTTAAAGCTAATAATGCTTTTTGAGGGTACGGGTGAGGGATTTCAATGGAGTAATCTCTTCAAACCGGTTAACATTGATGATGATTTGACCGTTGGCCATATCATCCTGATGATGTTGGCTTCTTGTGTGATATATATTGCAATATGTCTCTATGTGGAGCAGATATTCCCTGGCGAGTTTGGTGTTCCCAAGAAATGGAACTTCATTTTCTCACGCAGCTTTTGGGGTGGTGATCGTAAATCTATTAGCAACGAAGATGTACCCGGCGGCCATGTGAAGCGTAACAATCCCGATGCATTTGAACCAGAACCAGCTGGCAAACATATCGGTGTGCAAGTTAGAAACCTAAAGAAACGTTTCGGCGATAAACAGGCTGTGCGCGGTTTATCTGTCAATATGTATGAAGATGAAATAACTGTTCTTTTGGGACATAATGGTGCCGGCAAGACAACAACAATATCCATGCTGACGGGCATGTTCCCACCCACATCCGGCACGGCCATTATCAATGGCAATGATATTCGCACAAATATTGAAGGTGCTCGCATGTCTTTGGGCATCTGTCCGCAACACAACGTTCTCTTCGATGATCTGTCTGTGCGCGATCATTTGACATTCTTTAGTCGTTTGAAAGGTTTAAAGGGGGATGCCCTCACTCAGGAAGTAAATAAATATATTGGCATAATGGAATTGGAAGATAAGGCAAATGTGGCCTCCAGCAAGCTGTCGGGTGGTATGAAACGTAAGCTATCAGTTTGTTGTGCACTTACCGGCAATACGAAAGTGGTATTGTGTGATGAACCCTCATCGGGTATGGATCCATCGGCAAGACGTCGATTGTGGGATTTGCTGCAATCGGAAAAAATTGGACGCACCGTGCTGTTGACAACTCATTTTATGGACGAAGCAGATGTTTTGGGTGATCGTATTGCCATTATGTGTGACGGTGAATTAAAATGTCACGGCACCTCGTTTTTCTTGAAAAAGAAATTTGGTTCGGGTTATAAATTGGTAAGTAGTCAGTGGAAAGAAATAAAAAAAAAATAAAAAAAAAATGATTTCATTAGTAATTCCAGTTCAGTAAAAAAGACGACCATTAGGACACAGATTAATTGAATTTAGAGGATAAAAGTCCAACTGTTATATGAGAGTCAACTAGATATATTCCTGATAGATATCCATTTAGGTATGATAAACCGCCTATGATATGAAGTATGAAAAAGGCTGATCGATTATAAAATTGGATTCTTTATGTGAAGTCAAATACTAGAGGAGTTAGCTTCGGATCGAAATACAGCATTAGAGTTCCAATTTTATTAAATCAGCTAATTAAGGGTGGAATTATTTTGATTGGTTGCATTCATGTGCAGGAAGATGTTGTTAGAAGTCCGAAAAATATCTGAAAGGGTCATTAGGGATGTGAATAGTTAAGTAATTATTTCCTGAGGCCTGACTAGCATACTGGCAATTCCGATAAATATGATATGGGATCATAATATGAGGGAAGTACCGACGAGGAAACTACTGCTAGGTAGACCTAGAGTATAATGAGTCCATTAGACTATACTAGGAGAAATTATTTAAAAGTTCACCTTTTGTAGAAATATGTGATTAGAAGGCCTCATATTATTGGCTGAGGTCAATAGAGTTCTAATTACTATAGATAACATATGTTTCTAAGAGATCCAGTTTCCTGTCTTGAAAATGTCAGAATATGATATCCGGAGAGTTCAGCCTAAAATTGATGCTTCTTGAGAGTTTTGAATGGTATTGAAGAGAGGAATTCTTCTAGCGCTATGGTGGTTCTGAGAGGTCTAATGTATTGTGGTAATTTAGTAGAGGACAAAATAGTGTATCTGTGGGTCTAGAAATATTCCTTGTAATGATGTTCAAGGTCTTAATAAGGCTAGGACAAAATAGTGTATCTGTGGGTCTAGAATTATTCCTTGTAATGATGTTCAAGGTCTTAATAAGGCTAGGCAATTATAGGAGAAGGTTATTAAAATTCAACTTATTATGGATATTAGTAATTACGGGGACCGCCTCTGGTTGGCTGAGATCAGTGAAGTTCCGATAAATACAGGAAATCATACAAATATCAGACTATCAATATTATTTCTAAAATTAACCCTTTGCAGATCTGTGTAAAACGTGACGGTTGCAATACCGAAGAAGTAACAGCTCTACTGCAAAAATATATACCCAATATACAACCTGTTGCGGATATTGGTGCTGAACTGTCCTACGAACTACCCGATAAATATTCACATATTTTTGAAGAAATGTTTAGTGATTTGGAAAATAATTCCGATGATCTGAAAATAAATGGTTATGGTATTGGTATAACATCCCTTGAAGAGGTATTTATGAAGGTGGGCGCCGAGAGTGATACAAGAACAAATGGTGGACAAATTGCCAAAAGTGCTGCTCCCACTGCCTATCCTAAAGATGATGTTGAATCAAGAATATGTAAGTTATAGTATATAATGGATATAGCCTAAAATTAGATTTGTTCTCTCTTTTTTTAGCCGACAGTTTATTCTCGGAAAATAATCGCCTACTTAAGGGCGTACATTTACTACGCAACCAATGGGATGCCATGATCTTGAAAAAATTTCTCCATACATGGCGAAACAAATTAATGTTCATCATACGAAATGGGATGGCAATATTTTTTGTAGCTATGACATTTATCATCGCCCGAGCAGAGGGTACATTCAAGCCATTGGAACCGATGACAATGCGTTTGACTCAGTACCCTATGGCTGTTACAGTTTTAGATACAGCTGCCGATATTGTTCCGGGTTCGTTTTTGGACAAAATCTCCAGTGCTTATAAAAAGATAGCAACATCGTATGGCGACGATTATAAATTGGAATTGACCGGCAATAAAAATTTTATCGAATACATTTTGGATTTGGGTCGGCGCATACAAGTGAGAATTAATTCAAGATATTTGGCATCGGCATCGATACGAGGAAATAACAAAATTGTCGCATGGTTAAATAATCAGCCGCTGCATACGGCACCATTGACGGTGAATTTGGTGCACAATGCCATTATAAAGTAAGTTACAACCAACCGACTAAGAAAGGCACGCACTCCCAAGACATGAAGTGAGAATTTTTGTGAAGATATTTTTTTTTGTTCAGTAGTAGTGGTTATTGTCTTGTGAAAATTCTGAAATTAATTTCGTGGTGAAAACTTTGAATCCACAAGGAAAAAGAGACTATTTGGGGCTAACACTACACTCTTCTAGCGCTAAGATAACTTTCTGAGAGGTTCGATTTCAGGTTAGATAATGTCACTATACGCTACTGAAAGGATTTGCCTTCAAGGTGTGTGAGGTCTTTTAGGTCCTACTCTTAAACACTTTTAGGTTCGAATATAATAAGATCTGTTAGAGAGGTCAACCTAAAATTGATGGTTATTAACCCTTTCAGTGTTTTTGTCGAATATATTCGACATTTAAAATTACTGTCTTTCTTTGCGATTTTTCGGTTATCCTATGTACCGTTACAATTGATGTTTTTGTTTTTGCTGAAAGACAGACAAAACTGTCCGAGGGTTAAAATAAAAATTGCGTTTTTTTAAACTCTGTGCCTTTATATGATTTTAAATACAAAATTTTAGATTTTTTCCGACAAACATTTTTTTGACACTGAAAGGGTTAAGAAGTGCTGATAGTACCGAAGGAAGTTGGGATGGCTTCTAGCACTAAGAGGTGTTCTATTTTCTGATTTGAGTTTTCATAGACTAGTCCAGTATACGCTTTTAAGGCATATCAGTTCGTAAAAAAGTCGAATAACAGTAGTAATGACTGAGAGGTCAGCCTAGAACTATTTGTTTCTTGAGAGGTTTTCAGTACTGAAGAAAGTTCTGTGGAAATCTTCTATCACTAGGGTGTTTGTATGAGGTATTCTGGTTTCTAAGAAATGTCTGATTTCATTTTTGAACACCTTTTGGAAAGGTTTGCTAACCCATTAGAAGCTTTTAAGGTATAGAAACTTGCAGAAGAACCGGAGGAAGATCAACCCAAGAAGTAGGAGCTACTACTGAACGATAAGTCTAGAATGGTTGTTTCATTAGAGGTCATATTAGTATAGAAGCTGTTCTGTGGAATTCTGATTTCAGTTTTGAAAATGTCAAACGATGCTACTGAAAGGATGGACTAACCATTTTTTTGGTGGCGCGTGCTGAGTGCGATGTTGCTGAGTCCTGTTGGAATGCGGCCAAAATGTTTGCATGCCCAAGGATTTAATATAGCCTTCAGAATAATTTCGCGATAATATTTGGCATTTATTCTGATGCCACGATCGATTAATACGAGCGGAGAGCGACCATCGGCTGTTATGGCGGTTCACACAATCACCATGGCCAGGGCTTGAGTTCTGGTGGCCAACCGATGGTGCGCATTTTCAGCTGACCTCATGTTTTGTTTGTTTACAAACGTCTGGACATCGTATGGTTTCTCACCGGAGAAAACCAAATTCGACAGTTCACCATTTTCTATTTTTTTTCTGTTGCGGTGTAAATTCTTGCACTTTTTGGTATTTCAATGGCTTTACGCCGAGCTCATTCTCATTTCGAATGGAATATTGCGATATGTTCAGCTCACGAGCCATTTTTCGGCCACTGCGACGCGGGTTTCGATCGAGTCGCTTCTTTACTTTACGAACCATTTCTGCTGATGTTGCTGTTGTTGACGCTTGAATACCATCACGAATAACTTTTTTTTTTGGAAAATTCTCACAAAAATGCTTGTACGCTTGTAAACAATGTCACTGGAATAATTTTAACAGCTGTCGGATGAGTGGCTTAGAAATGACAGAAGTCTGAAGTTGGTTGCAGTGTTTTAATCTCTCCCTGTATGAGATCAGAATGTAATACGAGGTGCTTCTGAGAGGTCTACCAATAATTTGTGCTTCTGGGGAAGTCTGAAAAATATCGAAGGAAGTTCTGAGGAACTTTTCTAACACTTCAGTGGTAGAAAAGTGTATTGAAGTAAGTAGATGATAAAGTGATGGTCCAGAAAAATCTCTCTCTGGTTCATGGGAAACTCCAACTGAAATTCAAACAATCATTTCTTTACAAATTATATGTGGTTAATTTTCTGATTGTTAATTTCCAGAGAGATTTAACTATTGAGCTCCGATTTATACGATTCCTTTCGTGTACATTTGGAGCTATTAAAATATCAAAATATTATAGAAGAAATTCACTAAATACTACAAGATAATTGTTTAAGATGTTCGGCTAGGATATGTGACATTTTTTAGAGTGTAGATTACATGTTCAATAGTGACATGCCTTAGATGGAACTCTCTAGACTTTCAATTAGAACGATCGAACAGAGCACGGACTAATGCAATGTATGATCTTTTCAGATTATAGATTAAATGTCAGTGATTATGACTTACGGAGAATCTTTTCTAAATGGTTCAAATTTGTATAGAAGAATCTCCACAGGTTAAGACTCATAAGACGTATATTTTAGTTCTGAAGTCAAATTTATGGCTAAATATATCCGGATAATATACGAAGCGCTCACCAGATGTATTAATAATCACATTATAGATTGGATTAATTTGGACTATTACGGGGACCCCCCCCCATTCTCAGTGTCAACTTTTTTATATAATTTGAATATACGCTAATTAATAAATGTCCCTACAAAATTTCAAGTTAAAATGTCAAGAACTCTTGAAGATATAGCCGATTTATTGTGTTAGCATCAAGTGACGGCTGAAGGGCTGATCAAACTTTAAACGCGTTATTCTCTAAACATTTTTTTGTTATTCTCTAAACATTTCAACCCAATCGATTCCAAATTTTTACACCTTTCTTTGTGAGATTATAGCTATCGTATGAACTAGGATAAAGCCATTCGGTGAAGATCTTCCTTATTTTTTAACTTGGTTTTTGGTAAAAAATCGGCGATTTTCCTAAAATATTTTTTCAAAGGTCCGCCATTATGTTATTTTTAGAGCGAAGTCAATAATCCTAGTTCATACGAGAGCCAGACATGTACTCTTTCTAACAAAGGATTCCGATGTTCCAGTGAGGAGTTATCATGCCCGCCATTTTTTGTTAATTATTATTCGTCTCTTTTAATCTTCAATTAACATTTACCAGCCCATTGAAAATCTTAAAAAATTAAAACAAATTTCCCTTAAAAAAGAGCTAACTAGGCCACTTTACATTATGAATATCTCATAAGGGGTGGGATTTGGTTTTTTTTGATGATCCTATAAAGATATAATTTCTACTGTAATATATCCTTCACCATGAGGTGGGGTGTATATTGAATTTGTCATTCCGTTTGCAACACAGGATAAAATTCTATACCGATTTAGGCAAGTCCGTCTGTTGAAATAACGACAAAGCTTTTAAATTTTGTACTTATATTGCTATTAATCCTAGGATGTTTGGTGTTGTGTAAAAGCAATATATCGATCCATGTTATGGTATAGTCTCCATATAGTGGAACTCCCAAATATTCGGTAGTTTAGGGATTTTTGGCAACTTTTTTAACCGAATTGGCTGTAATTTCCATTAGGTATTAAATCTTCCTAGTGATGTTCAATATTGATCAATACGATAGCCCCTATATATAACAGTACCTCCCAAATATCGTTTTTTTTGGAGAATTTAGGTATGTTTTTCAACCGAATTGAAATCAAATTTGGTAGCTCTATCTACTAAACATTATCAATATTGCTCCACTTATAACGATAGCCTCAATATAAATTTATTGGATATTTCTCAATATTTTGGACTCGTGTTTTATCAGATTTGGATGTATCTTTTTCATTGTTTGCCAAATTGTCCATACCATAGTACAAATGCGATATATAGCATTTCCACATTAAATGAAACCTTTTACAAATTAAATGAACCCTTTTCCAAATTAAATGAAACCTTTTCCAAATTAAATGAAACCTTTTCCAAATTAAATGAAACCTTTTCCACTTGAAATGAAACCTTTTACAAATAGAATGAAACCTTTTCCAATTGAAATGAAACCTTTTACAAATAGAATGAAACTTTTTCCAAATTAAATGAAACCTTTATTCTTATCTAAGGAAATATAATATTTGCACTAATTTTAAACCAATATTTGAAAATTAAATCAAAGAATATTAACAAATTTAGTTGTATGGCTATGTAATTAACATAAATATCTTTAATTCGGTGTGATTTCATTTAATATATTTACTACATAAAACTAAATAAATAGTAATACAAACTGGGGTATTTCTTGACATTTTAATAAATAAATATTTAAGAACAGGAATTGAATACCCGGTCCTAAATGCGAAATACATATTTGACTTAATAAATTGTTGATGATAAGGTAACTGCTTATCTTAGTGAAGGGGTCCCCGACTTGCAGCTTGTGGGATTTTCAAAACCATGTCCATAACGTAGTTAGAACAATCTTGCTGAGTAAGCTTTTGAATACTTCGCTCGATTACATCAACAATGTTATGTTCCATTGAAACGTCACACAGCTCAGCTCTTGGACATAATTTTATTTTTGAAAATGCATTTTCGATTGGATTTAGCATTGGAGAATAAAGCGGTAAGAATTTAAGGTTGCATATTTTGGATTCGATCAAATTTTTATGTCATGTCGCTTGTGTATTTATAAAGATATCAAAAAAAAATTTCTATAAATAATTTAAATTCTGCATTGACACTGGAATTGATTGGTGGAGTGTGTATATAACATTTTGACCGTAGGCAACACAATGTGTGCTCTTGCTTGTCAACACATGATAAAATTCAATGAATATATTTTTCCGATTTAGTCAATTTTTGTCAAGCCTAATGTCTGTCATTATTTGAAATCACGACAGAGCTTTCAAATTTTGCACTTATATTGCTATTAATCCTAGGATTTTTGGTATTGTGGAAATGGAATATATCGGTCCATGTTATGATATAGCCTCCATATAATGGTACCCCAAATATTCGGTAGTTTAGGGATTTTTGGCAACTTTTTTAACCGAATTGGCTGTAATTTCCATTAGGTATTAAATCGTTTCATCACACAAATTCCAGTGTCAATGCAGACAGATTTAAATTATTTATAGAAATTTTTCAAAATTGATCAATTTGGAAAACGACGCTCAAATACACAAGCGACATGACATAAAAAATTTATCGAATCCAAAAGATGCAACCTTAAATTCTTACCGCCTTATTCTCCAATGCTAAATCCATCTCGAAAATGCATTTTCAAAAATAAAATTTTGCAAGAGCTGAGCTGTGTGACGTTTCAATGGAACATAACATTGTTGATGTAATCGAGCGAAGTATTCAAAAACTCGACAAGATTGTTTGGTTATGGACATGGTTTTATCTGCAAGTCGGGAACCCCTTCATTAAGATAAGCAGTTACCTTATCAAACAATTTATTAATCAAATATGTATTTGCATTTAGGACCGGGTATTCAATTCCTTAAATATTTATTTATTAAAATGTCGAAATAGCCTCAATATAAATAAAGATTAAATGGAATATTTATGTTAATTACATATATATTTGTTAATATTCTTTGATTTAATTTTGAAATATTGGTTTAAAATTAGTGCAAATATTATATTTCCTTAGATAAGAATAAAGGTTTCATTTAATTTGGAAAAAGTTTCATTCTATTTGTAAAAGGTTTCATTCTATTTGTAAAAGGTTTCATTTCAAGTGGAAAAGGTTTCATTTAATTTGGAAAAGGTTTCATTTAATTTGGAAAAGGTTTCATTTAATTTGGAAAAGGGTTCATTTAATTTGGAAAAGGGTTCATTTAATTTGTAAAAGGTTTCATTTAATGTGGAAATGCTATATATAAAGGTACTGAGCAATTATAGGTATTTTAAATGTTCACCCCATGGAGAAGGGTATATAATGTTCGGGCCGGTCAATCTTAACAATGTTTTTACTTGTTTATTTCTTCTCTCTCTCTCTCTTTCTTTACCCATTTGTAGAGCTGCCATGAATGATTCGTATGAAATAACCGTTACAAATGCTCCCCTACCCTATAGCACAAAAATGGTATTGAAACAATTGGATACTGGCAATAGTCTGGGTATTCAGTTATCAATGAATTTATGTTTCTGTTTGGCTTTTGTGAGTGCTTTCTATATTTTGTTCCCGATCAAGGAACGTGAATCACGTTCCAAGTTATTGCAATTTGTGGGCGGTATTAATGTGTGGATATTCTGGATATCACAATTCCTATGGGATATTATGACATTTACGCTGACAGCGTTGATTGTGGTCTGTACGATAGCATGTTTCCAGGAAGATGGCTTTGTGGGATTTTCCGATTTGGGTGAGTAAGGTTTTGACAAAGAGGAAATGTAAATTTACTATTTTTTTTCTTATTATAGCCCGTTATTTCTTGGTCATATTTATATTCGGATTATCTGTGCTACCATTTACATACCTGATTTCATTGTTCTGCTCGGAGCCATCTACCGGGTTTGGCAGAACTGCATGTATAAACATAATCTGTGGCGTGGCTCTGTTTATTGTTGTGACTGTCATGTCAATTGAGGTTTTTGATACCAAGGACACGGCCGACCTGTTGGCATGGATCTTTCGAGTATTTCCTCACTTCTCCTTGGCCATGGCTCTTAATAAGCTATATGCTAATGTGGCCTCACGAAAGGTTTGCAGTTATCAGGTTATTGCCAGCCTACCCGATGACCTGCGTTGTGAATTAGTACCGATATGTTGCCGTAAGTACTTCATAAATTGTTATTTATTTTAAACAAGTCATTAACGTTGCATTTTATTTTGTCCTCTCAGATACCACTCCCTATTTCGATTGGGAAGAACCTGGTATTTTACCAGAAATTGTTTATTTACTTGCCACCTTCGTGGTGTCCTCTATGATATTAATTGGCCTTGAATATGGCATTTTGAATGAGTTAATCTACAAATGGAAACAAAGGAATTTGTAGGTATTGAGTAAAAATATAGTTTTTTTTTCAATTCTTAATTTTTTAAAAATTTTACAGCAAACCCACACCCCCTGCGGAAGATGCCAATCGTGATGATGATGTTGAATCGGAGAAGAAGAAAATTCTCAAAATGTCTCAATCGGAATTACAAAGCCAAAATTTGGTATTGAATCGTGTTACGAAATATTATGATCGTTTTTTGGCTGTTAATCAAATTTCGCTGTGTGTTAAACCGTAAGTTTCAACATTATTGCAGAAAAGTACACCTAGATCGACCTGAAAAACGATCGCTGACAAATATTTTTTTAAAGTACATGCCAGCTAAACCAAGTAAAAGCTTGAAAAATATTCATTTAAAAAATGGATGGTCCTTGAAAAAATATTCGTTAAAAAAATTCACGCCTTGTTTGGATGATCCTTGAAAAATATTTGTATAAAAAATCTACGATTCTTATTCCAAAAGAAATGTTCTTTAAAAACACATGCCCCTCATTCCGAATAACTCATACCCATTTCATTTGTTCTTATTAATTTCTTTTTTCCTTCCATTTTCCAGAGCTGAATGTTTTGGTTTGCTGGGTGTAAATGGTGCCGGTAAAACGACCACCTTCAAAATGATGACCGGTGACGAACGCATCACCAGCGGCACAGCCTATGTTAAGGGTTTGAATTTGGCTGCAGATGTCACCAAGATATACAAAGAAATTGGCTATTGTCCACAATTCGATGCTCTGCTTGACGACTTGACGGGTCGTGAAACTTTACGGATATTCTGCCTACTACGTGGCGTACGACGTGATCGCATCGAACACATTTCCCAAGAATTGGCAAAATCATTTGGTTTTATAAAACATTTAGATAAAAAGACGAAAGCCTATAGTGGTGGTAACAAACGTAAATTAAGTACGGCGTTGGCTGTTATTGGCAGTCCGTCGGTTATCTATTTGGATGAACCCACCAGCGGTATGGATCCGGCAGCCAGACGGCAGTTGTGGAATATGGTTTGTCGTATTCGTGATTCGGGTAAATCGATTATTCTCACATCACACAGTATGGAAGAATGTGAGGCATTGTGTACCCGCCTGGCCATTATGGTTAATGGTGAATACAAGTGTATTGGTTCGACACAACATTTGAAGAATAAATTCTCCAAGGGTTTAATTTTGAAGATTAAAGTTAAACGCAACTTCGTTGCTGAGAAAACGAAAAAGTTTTTAATTTTTAAAATTTTATTAAAAAGCAGAAATAGGGTCAGCTTGACCATTGAAAATAACGCAGCTCAAATTCGTGGACAAGCCATTGATACGGTGAAGAGTTTCATTGAAACCGAATTTCCTCAAGCCATTTTACAGTAAACCTTTATATAAGTTTTTTTTTTGTGTTGTCATAATTTAATTGTATTTTTGTTCTTCCTCCTTAGGGAAAATTTCCAAGGTATTCTTACCTTCTACATTCCATTGTCCAGTATTAAATGGTCGCAAATATTCGGCCTTATAGAAAAAAATCGCGATCGTTTAAAAATCGAAGATTATTCAATATCACAGACAACATTGGAAGAGATTTTCTTAGAGTTCGCCAAATATCAACGTGAAGATAGCCGTCAGACAAAAAAGTGAGCATGATGTTTTTTTTTAGCTTTGGTAACACACGCATACTACTCTGTACACGACCGAAAACACAGAAATCCGCACACACACAACACATAGTTTGACAGATGACGAATTTCGAAATCACGAAATAGATAGCCCTTTGAAATTGAAACGATAAGATAATTAAAAATATATTTTAAAGTGCGTATAAGTGTTGGCGTCAATTATGCGTCCCACAGACCAAAGTGCGTATAAGTGTTGACGTCAATTATACGTACCGCACAATAACCAAACAAATAATAATATGTTTAACTTTTAATTTTAAAGAAAATCTTGTTTCGGCTGCTGTAGAAGGAGTGGTGGTGATGGATAGCTAAAGCATAAAGGTCAACCAAATATGTCATGGAATGTTAGTACAATCATCTGAAATCTACTTGAGCCCTATTGGATTCTACCAAAACAACAACATTTATAAATGAAATATACAATACACTGATGAAAACTTTAATACCATTATATAATGTAATGTATATATTTTATTTTATAATATTAAAAATATATAGTTATATTGTTTACCTTAATTTAAAATATCTTTATTGATAAAATACTTCAAAAATACGACCTTAGACGGCGTGAATTTTTTAAGCCATATTTTTTCAACGACCTTAGAAGGCGGGATTTTTTTAAACCATATTATTTCAACGACCTTAGAAAGTGTGGATTTTTTAAAGAATATTTTTTTCAACGACATTCCACGACTTTCGAAATTTAGAAGACCTTATATTAATTAATGATCAGTTATTTTATTTATAGATATAAGATAAACGATTATCGCTAGGATTTAAACGAGATTCAGTTTCCCAAAATTCAATAAAAGCCTTGGATAGAGAACATCGCGTTAATGCAAAATCTTCAATATTAAGGACATGGACACTGCGCATCATTGTTGTGAATATAGTTGATGCTGACGCCGAATAGATGGGTATTAGAAAAAGGAAATTGTTGCCATGTTGCTCTCTGCAAAAAAAGACAACACGATTCATATCCCATCAGAAAAGAAAACCATACTCACTTCATCACCGCATTAGGAAATTTACGATATACGAAATTTGTCAGCTTATTTAAACTTGCCGCATACAAATAATTACCCGATATATTTTCTTGATAGTGTAGTAAATTAAGGGAAATTTTCACCTTTAACAAATAGTATTCGGCATATAGTCGATCCAAGCTCCATGGCTGGCCGATGAGACAGAAGCGGCCGTGAGACATAAAACCCATACGGTTACAATACTTTTCACAATCATCAAGATTTGTGGTGGCATATAAAATGCTGCGGCCCTTTTGTAATTGCATGCGTTTCAAAAGATTCCATAGTTCTCGTTTGCCAGCCGCATCCACCCCGGCTGTGGACATATCCAGTATTACAATATCAGGATTCCCCAGCAAAGCTAAGGCACAATTTAAACGTCGCAAGGCACCTTCACTGAGAATATTTAGATGTTTATGATAATACGGGAAAATATCCAAAACTTTGGCCAAATTCAGACAAACATTTGCAATATTTTGTGGTGGATAGCTGCGTAGTGAACATATAAATTCAAGGGCATTTTGCACAGTTATTTCTGCGAAATCTATTAACTCTTGCCGACTATGACCAATCGAATCGGGTGGCATGGATAGATGGCTTGAACCCTTGATAAATATACGGCCATAAGAAATGGTTTTGTTCCCAGTAATTAAATTGAATAGAGTTGAAATCCCGCAACCACAAACTCCAACGATGCCAAAACAGTCATATCTATCGGAGATTAAGAAAATAATTTTAAACAGGGAGCAACAATTAAACACAATGATCGGTGCACTTTTTTTCTCCCATCTAATGATGTGGACTACATTTTCAATATTTTCAAGATGTTTAGTCACATATCACCACCTAGGTGTCTTAAAAAATGGAAGTATGGTCCTTGGAAAAATAAATATTCTTTAAAAAATGGAAGCCTTGTGCTGGTCCTTCAAAACATATTCTTGTGTTGTGTTGGTACTGAAAAATATTCTTTAAAACAATTAAGTCATGTGAGGGTCCTGCAAAATATTCGTTAGAAATATCCAGGCCATGTGCAGGTCCTTGAATAAACATTCTTAAAAAAAAAGAAAAGAACAGGTTTATGACGGCCCTGAAAAATATTCTTTAAAATATCCAGGCTATGTGCAGGTCATGAAAAATATTCTTTAAAATACCCAGGCCATATGCCTGTCATCAAAAATATTATTTTAAATATCCAGGTCCAGAGAAATATTCTTTAAAATATACAGGTCACGTGCAGGTCCTGAAAAATATTGTTTAAAATATCCAGGCAATGTAGAGGTCCTGAAAATGTTTCTTATTAATATCCAGGCCATGTGTATGTCCTGAAAAATATTCTTATTAATATTCAGACCATGTGTAGGTCCTGAAAATAATGTTTAAAAGAAATCCACGCCTAGCCTAGTTCTTGGAAAAATATTCTTAAAAGAAATCCACGCCTAGCCTAGTTCTTGGAAAAATATTCTTAAAAGAAATCCACGCCTAGCCTAGTTCTTGGAAAAATATTCTTAAAAGAAATCCACGCCTAGCCTAGTTCTTGGAAAAATATTCTTAAAAGAAATCCACGCCTAGCCTAGTTCTTGGAAAAATATTCTTAAAAGAAATCCACGCCTAGCCTAGTTCTTGGAAAAATATTCTTAAAAGAAATCCACGCCTAGCCTAGTTCTTGGAAAAATATTCTTAAAAGAAATCCACGCCTAGCCTAGTTCTTGGAAAAATATTCTTTAAAAAATCCACGCCTAGCCTAGTTCTTGGAAAAATATTCTTAAAAGAAATCCACGCCTAGCCTAGTTCTTGGAAAAATATTCTTAAAAGAAATCCACGCCTAGCCTAGTTCTTGGAAAAATATTCTTAAAAGAAATCCACGCCTAGCTTAGTTCTTGGAAAAATATTCTTAAAAGAAATCCACGCCTAGCCTAGTTCTTGGAAAAATATTCTTTAAAAAATCCACGCCTAGTCTAGTCCGGCCTTTTGCTTTCATTATAATATTATACTTGTAACATAATATCCTCACCTGTTGAGAATCAAGCTCAAGCGATCAATAGCCACTTTAAAACAATATGTCTTGCCAACTCTATCACAAACTAGAGGAATTTCTTGCAGCTCCTTGTCAGATAAACGTTGAACCCTATAACGCTCCATGAATGCGGTGGTTTCGCCAAATTGCATTTCCTCCAATACTTCGTGGCGTCTCTTGTGGTCATTGAGTTGGGCAAGGCTAAAAATTTAAACACTAATAATATCGATTTCAAGGAATTCAAAATTGTGCACTTACAAATCATCTCTTGGTATTGGTTTACATTTCAGTAAATGACGATATTGACGTAGGACAATAATCAGCCAGCACAATATAATGGTTACTGTCAGAGCCAGTGTCTCCAAAATGATGCCATTTTCAAAACTCATCATTGTGAATTCACCTGTACGAAGACAGGCATACAACAAACACCCAAAGAAACAAAAGGGCAGGTACTAGAAATGAAATAATAGGGAACATGTCAAAAAGTGGACCTATACCGACATTTCTAAAAACGGATTATGTAAACCATAATGTAAACAACAATACAAATTTCAGGAAATTTTAATGGATAATAATACCTTCAGCCTTGCAGCTAATGACGGTGTATACACTTTAACACAATGAAAATGTGCCTCATCGAAATATTGGTTCTAGACCCCATGTTTCTTTGGACCAAATCCGTTTCAGTAAAGTTGGATTTCATTCAAACCTCGCACATCTTATTATTTCTTCCAAACTCAGTTCAAATTCGAAGATGGGGAATATCGGTCCACTTCTTCTGGTACCTCCACACAGGGGCTAGGTCTAAATGCGGCTATAGTTCATTATCGAACCTTATGTTCTAATTTATTATCTCGCTATCCTCCGCAGGTGAAATGATTACAACAGAGTCTTAGAACCAAAATTAAAACGCGTAACAAATCAGATAACTATTTTAATATAAAAAAGGGTGTTATATGGGGACTACCCCAAAAAGGGGGCGAATATTAATAATTTTTGGTAGGGAGATTTGTTACCATATACGACTACAAAATACAAAATTGCAGCAAATTCGGTTGATAAACGCGTTCAAGAACCCCAAAATACCGAAAATTGGGGGTATCCTTATATGGGGGCTATCCGAAAAAATGGATCTACATTCATAATATTTTGTGGGGAGATTTGGTACCTATTAAGAACTCAAAATACTAAATTACAGCTAATTCGGCGGAAAAATACGATCAAAACCCCCAAAATACTGAAAATTAGGAGGTACCGTTATATGGGGACTACCAGAAAAAGTGGACCTATATCCATAATTTTTTGTGGAAAAATTTATTACCCAATAGGAACCCAATATAGCAAATTTCAGCGAATTCCGTTGAAAAACGCGGTCAAGAACCCCAAAATACCGAAAATTGAGAGGTACCGTTATATGGGGGGTACCAGAAAAAATTGACCTATATTTATAATTTTTAGTAGGTTTATTTGGTACCCAATAAGAACTCAAAGTACCAAATTTCAGCGAATTCTGTTGAAAAACACGCTCAAGAACCTCAAAATACCGAAATTTTGGGGTTACCCTTACATGGGGGCTGTCCGAAAAATGGACCTATATTTATAATTTTTAGTGGGGATATTTGCTACCCAATAAGAACTCAAAGTACCAAATTTCAGCGAATTCGGTTGAAAAACACGCTCAAGAACCTCAAAATACCGAAAATTGGGGGGTATCCTTATATGGGAGCTATGCCTAAACGTGGACCGATATAGCCCATCTTCGAACTTGACCTGCCTGCAGACAAAAGACGACTCTATGCGAAATTTTGGGGCTCTACCTCAATTCG